TGGGAGACAAGTGAATTGAAAGAGCAGTGTTGATGCTGACATGGTGCTCAGTGTCCAGTGAGCGAAGGTTTGAAGCATGGAATTGGAAGTCTTTGTGTTCAGCGAGGATATTGCCTGAGGTTCCGGCACATGGAATCACCTGGCTGGTGTGCCTAATTGGGCCAGTTCCTGCCTTTCTAAGGGCAGCTTGAAAGTGGCTTGAAACCCTAGGGCATTTGTGGAGTGGTCTCGATGGGACACCTGTGTGGGCCAGTGTAGACACCACACAGGGAATTCCAGAGCTAATGATGAGCATATTTGTGAGGCTGGAGTTTGCTTCTCTGTGAGAAACATTGAAGCTGGAGTGGAAAGAAGTTGCTGCGTCTTATGACTCACTGTGTCAGCAGGTCTGAGCCTGGCAGGATATTCGGATCAGATACTTGGGAGGTTGTGATGCCCTGGTGGTGGACCATCGCTCATGCTGGGCAGGCCAGCTTGCTACAGGGACAGAGACTAGGCTGTACTCCCTGGCCATTCCGCCTGCTGTAGATGTGATAAGAGAGTTGCTCCCTGTTTGGTTCTCCAGCCCTCGGCTCAGCAAGGTGGTTGATGGGAAGAAGCCCACACACAGCATTATTAATTCTTGCCCAGTGTGCCCCCTGCTTCCTCAGAGGAGGCACAGCAGATGTCCCCTGCTGGTGTCTGTGAATTCAGCCGGCAGAAGCAGTTCTTCCAGAGCCACATGCTTGAGAAATCCTCTCCATATTCCTGTGCTGTGTGCAAGAGATCACTTTTCATGTGGAACTGAAATCTTAGCTCCTCTGTTTGGAACTAAGGCAACACAGGACACCAGTCTCCATGAAGGTCTAGTTCCAAGTGGAACCTGATGTGTGAGACTGAGACTGAACCTGTGCGTCCTGCTGAACCTGCTGCAGGCTCCTTCCTGAAAACTGTGCAGCAAAGCCTGGTTTGTGATAACATCACAGGAAAGAGGAAGAGGTTCACCACTCTGCCTGATGACTGGAGGATTCTGGACTTTAATCCCAGGGGGTTGGTGCAGGGAGGAGAGATATCTGTTTCCCAGGACCTTGGCCAGAGGGACATTTGGACCCTGGGATGGGTCTCTGTTCAGCTTTCTCAGATGAGCACCTCAGGCAAGGAGAGGAAGTGTGTGTGCTCACCTGTAACTAAGGAATGTGTTTGGTTTCAAGTCTCATGTGTAGGTGGAGTCCTCGTGTGGCTCATTTTCCTGATGATGTGCGGGGTACAGTAGGTTGACCCCCTGGTCCTGGGCATTCTGGTTGTGCGAGAGACCTGGGGCACTTTTTCCCCAGGGCTTTGGACCAGGAAATAGGAGGGAGTCTGTGGTGAAACCATCAGTGTAGGCATCTGGTTCTGCCTTGCTGAAAAGGACTTGTGACTGTGATAACTGCTATGGAAATACAGAGCAGCAGACAGGGCTGGGGTGCAGAAGGGGAGATGGGGGTGGTGCTTGCTGTTCACATAGGGGCTAGTGGGCCCTCACAAGGAAGTTGATCCTTGAGTCAAAATCTAAAGAAGGTGAGTGATATCACATCAAGAGCATTCTAAAGGGAAGGAAAACGTGCAAAGGCCCTGGGCAGGAGCACACCAAGTATGTCCAGGAGCAGCAAGAAAACCCTGTGGCCACAGGAGACAGCTTAGGACATGACCTCAGGGAGGTGGCAGAGGGAGACAGAAAGCCATTGGAAGTTTGTTACCCCACGGGACCCTGTTTCACTGGGCCATCCTGACTACAGTGTTGAGAACAGATGACAGATTGTTGAGGATGGGCAAGGGAGGTCCATGATGAAGCTTTTCCAGGACCTCAGGCAAGAGATGGCCTCCAGTGTGGACCAGACAGGTGGCCTTGGAAGAAGTGGTCAGTCCTGTTCTGGTTACGTTGAAGATGGGGCTCACTGGACTTGCTGATGGGTTAGATACAGGTAATGGGAGAAAGGAGGAATTGGGTTAAAACCCAGCTGTGGTTGGTTGTCCTGAGCAAAGGGAAGGAGGAGGTTTCTGGGGGTAGGAGGACGTCTGTGTTCCCCATGCTCAGGAAGGTGCCTTTCACGGTGTATCTGCTGATGTGTGTGTCCGGGAGAACAGTTAACACCTACTCCCTCAGCACATTTCAAGTACAAGTGTTCCCCACTTTTTAAAAGTTCACGGTGAGACACTTGGCTTTCTTTGAAAGATCTACGTCATTGCCTGGCTTCAGTAACAGGAAGAAAACTGAAGAGGATTTCCCTCTTATGAAAAAATTCAAAAAGTGAGCATCGCGTTCAGCATCTATTTTGCTGGGAGCCACTGCAGAGGCGGCGAACACCCCAACCAGCTCCTTCCTGGGAAACGCTATCCACATCCAGCCCCCAGCGCTTTGAATTGTGTCTGTGAGCATCTGCTGTGCTTTATCTCCATCCATTAGGAAGTTGTGTCCTGAGGCCTAAGGAAAGCCAAAGAGAAGTCATTTTTGGAGTCTGAGCTTGCTCACTATTTTTTCTGTATAAATGAATGGTAATTCCTCCCTTGGTTTACATCATTTCTGCTGTGAAAGGTATGCTAAGATCAATGTACTTTCAAATAGCAGGGGAAACCGTACCCCATCCTGCTGGGTTAGCTTTAGTCTCCATGCTGCACAGAATGTTCCATGACTTATGGATTTTATCACTTAAACATTGTGCCTTTGACCACCTTCCCTGCCCCCCATCCCTGAATCTGGCAACCACCAGTTGTTCTCAGTATCTATGCGTTCACTATATTTTTCCATGTGGAACGTCCATGAACATCTGGCATTTTTCTTTCTGTATCTGAGTTCCTTCGCATAATGCTCCCATGGTCTCTGTTTCTATGTCTGGTTACTGTGAATAATGCTGCCGTGAACAACGGAGTGCATCTATCTTCTTGAAGTAGTGTTTTTGTGTTCTCTAGATAAATACTCACTAGAGCAATTCCTGGATCATGTGGTAGTTGTATTCCTTTTCTCAGGAACCTCTATATTGTTTGTCACAGTGGTTATACCAATGTACATTCCCACCAACAGTGCACAGGGTCCCCTTGTCTACACACCTTTGACCACACCTGGTGTCTGTCTCTGGGATGATTGCCATCCCAACAGGTGTGAAGTGATAGCGGATTACAGGTTTGACTTATGTTTCCCTGACAATGATTAGTGATGTTGAACAACGTTTTCTGTGTCTGTTGGTCACCTGGGTGCCGTCTTTGGAAAGTATCTCTTCACATATTCTCCTCATTTTTTATACAGGTTTTTGTTTGTTTGTTTTGATTTGTATGAGTGTTTTGTGTATTTTGGATATTAGCCTCTTTTCACACATATAAATTGCAGATATTTTTTTCTCATTGGATAGTCCACCTTTTAAATTTTTTATTATTATTTTTTTTTGCTGTGCAGAAGATTTCAGTTTGATGTCGTTCTACATGTTTATTTTTGAATTTTTTGCCTTTGTTTTTAGTGTCCGATCTAAAATACTCTTTGCCAAAACCATGTCCAGAAACGTACTACCTGTGCTTTCTTCTCAGAGGTTTATGGATTCATGTCTTATGTTGAAGTCATTCATCCGTTTAAGTTTTTGTGTAAAAAAGTGATCCCGTTCCATTCTTCTGCATGTAGCGTGTGGTTTTCCAGTGCCATTCACTGAAGAGACAGTCCTTTCCGCACTGCATATTGTCTGCTGCTGTGTCGTCAGTTAAGACCATACCTGTGTGGGTTAGTTTGTCAGCTTTCTTTTGCTTCTGCTTCTTCTTCTCCTTCTCCCTCCTCTTCCTCCTTCCTCCGTTTGTGTCTTAGCGTTTTCCTTTGAGAAAATATTTTTCCTGTAAGAATATACGCAGTGTGGACTCCATTGATTACATGTCATACTATTTGCTAGGACATTTCTCTGACGTGTGTTTTTGTAAATGAGTAGCTGTATCTATAGCTTCCAACAGGTTAAACATTTGGGCAGAACTACTCAAGTCATGTTATATCCTTCCTTCAGATACGGATTGTGTCTGATTGTCGTCTTTTGTGAAGCTATCAGTTGTGATGATGGATATCTATATTTCCTTCACCATGATAGGTTTTTTAAAGTGATTTCAAGTTTTCTTAAAAATGTGCATTCCAAATCATCCTAATTTTATAATATATATTTATATAAAACATGTTTAAAGAGAAGCATTTATTGGAATCAGCTGTTGCAACAGCTGATTAATTAATATTAATAAATATTAATTCCCATTCAGAGTTAATTATATCAGAGCTAAGTTTAAATAAACCTTTAATGTACTGACTCTAATGAGTAAATTTTGCCAAAAGTGCTATGACTCTCATTTCCCAAGCTTTCTATTCTATTCCATTGACCTGTGTGTCTCTTTCTATGCCAGGACCATACAATTTTATTTTTCCAAAAAAATAAACTACAGAGATTTTTTTATTTAAAAAATGCAATAGCATAATATCATGTACCGACAGGAGTTTCATTAACAAAACAATTAATAGGAGAGCATAGCTGTTGCAAAAATTAAATACAGATTTTCATGGCAGGAAGTTAGTGCCAAGTCAGTGACTCCTGAATTCGTCCGAGTATGAACGGCAGCTCAGGGATGGTATGTTTTCTTTCACTAAAGACACGTTTCTTGGGCAGTTTAACGTCTCCCCCCCCTTAGAATTTAATGCTGTCAAAGCTATGATTAATATTTTACTCAGAATTGTTAAGAGAAAATCTTCACAAAATTAACAATACAGATCTTCAAGTAATTAGGACCACTCAGAGACACCTGAAAAGAATCCCATGTATGGATTCGTTGTTTTTTTTTTTTTATTCGTTGAATTAAATTCAGTGAAAGTTTTAAGGGGGGGAAAAGTCAGTTATCTATTCATTCCCTCAAGTTTTAATTAAACAATTTTAGCGATTACGTAGAAAAACACATTTTACATGTTGCTGTAAAGCACTTTCCTGGAACTGGTCACAGATTTAATACATCGGAAGAACATGATAGGCCACCTATCTTCCTGTAACGTGATGGTAAATCGGCCTCTGGATGTCTGAAACCAGAGTACTGGCACCTATTGGGAACAGTTCTGGCGTCAGCCATTCATCTCCCAGCTCTTCCTTCACAAGAGAGAGACAAGCAAGGGAATACTTTGCACTGCGGATGCCTCCTGTTTGTGTAAATCCTGCCTTGTTTCCAGTTTTCCAGAAGAAATCTCTAATGGCCCATAGCATTACTATAGCTACTGGGAAAGTGGCATTTACCGTTTCTTTTCCAGTAGAGGTCTTAATAAAGTCTGATCCTGCCATTATTGCGATCATACTGGCTTTATAGAAATGAGTAAGAGATCCAAGTTCTCCTGTTGCTAAGATCGTTTTGAGATGAGCCCCCCACAGGCCTTGTGAAACGGACGAATCTCATCACACAGGGCTTCCTGCTGGCCGGTCAGCACCAAGGTCCTATTAATCACCACAACGATTTCTGTAACTCCATTTTCCACAGCCAATCTGATCTCTACCAATCGTGTTTTTAAATGAGTCTGTCCAGGGCGCCTGGGTGGCTCAGTTGGTTGGGCGACTGCCTTCGCCTCAGGTCATGACCCTGGAGTCCGGGGATCGAGTCCCACATCGGGCTCCCTGCTCAGCAGGGAGTCTGTTTCTCCCTCTGACCCTCTTCCCTCTCGTGCTATCTCTCATTCTCTCTCTCAAATAAATAAATAAATAATTATAAATAAATAAATGAGTCTGTCCAGCTGGAAAGCCAGTGGGCACGGAAGCCCCTGGGATGGTACAGCACAGGGCCTTCAGTGTTTTAACCGCATCACACACCCGCGTGGGGTAGACATAAACAGCATTGGTCATAAGGCCTTTATCACACATATTGAAACTTTTTAAGAGAGCTTCCCGGATTGGATACTTGGCTTTATAACAGAGCCTTTGAACGTTAGAAGATGTGTCATGGTCTGAAAATGTAGTAAGACCTATAAGGATAATGGCTTTCAGAAGCCAAACAGCTTGCCACTCCTTTTTCATGGTTGTGCAAGCCTGGATTTGTTCTGCATACCTCATAACTGCGGGTTGATATATTTCTTACTTTTACTACTAGATTTTTTTTTTCTTGATGCAATTGTAAATGGCATTGTTTTCTTATTTTGTCTTTGTGGAAGTTTGTCATCACTATACAGAAATGCAACAAGTTGGGACTCCTGGTAGCTTAGTCAGTTTAAGCCTCTGTCTTTGGCTCAGGTCACAATCCCAGGGTCCTGGCATGGAGACCCTCATTGGGCTCCCTCCTCAGTGTGGTGTTGGCTTCTCCGTCCCCTTCTGCTCCTCACCCTGCTTGTGCTGTTTCTCCCTCTCTGTCAAATAAATAAATAAAATCTTTAAAAAAAAAAAGAAATGCAACAGGTCCCTGTATATTGACTTTTTATCCTGCAGCTTTACTGAATTTATTTATTCTAACAGTTTTTGGGTGGAATCTTTAGGGATTTCTATATATAGTATGTCATTTGCAAATAGTGACAGTTTTCCTGCTTGGATTTCATCTTTTCATTTCTTTCTTTTCTTTTTTTTTCATTCGTTTTCTTTCTCTCTCTCTCTCTTTCTTTCTTTCTTTCTTTCTTTTTATTTCATTCTTTCATCTTTCTTTCTTTCTTTCTTTTATTTTCTTTTCTTTTTTTGTCTAAATGATTTTGTTAGGGCTTTAATACTATGTTAACTGAGTGATGAGAGTGGAAATCTTTGTCTTGTTCTTGATCTTGGTGGAAAAGTTTTCAACTTTTCACCCTTGAGTATGATTTTAGCTGTAAACTTTTCATATATGGTCTATGTTCCCTCTATACCCAGATGGTTTAGAGTTTTTATCATACATGCATATCGAATCTTGTCAAGTGTTCTTTCTGCATCAATTGTAACAATCATATGATTTTTATCTTTTATTTTTTTAAGATGGTGTATCCTGATGTTTGATGTGCAGATGTGCAAACATCCTTGCATCCCTGGAATACATCACACTTGATTGTGTTGTGTGATTTTCCCGATGTATTGTTGAATTCAATTTGTTTATAATTTGTTGAGGATTTTGGCATCTATGTTCTTGAGGGATATTGGCCTTTCCTTTTCTTTTTTTTTTTCCATCTCCCGAACCCCATGCCCGCTAGAACCCTCAGTTTGTTATTCAGGGTCCATTATCTCTCATGGTTCGTCTCCCCCTCCGACTTACTCCCCTTCATTCTCCCCCTCCTGCTATCTTTTCCTTCTTTTTTTTTTCTTAACATATATTGCATTATTTGTTTCCGAAGTACAGATCTGCGATTCAACAGTCTTGTACAATTCACAGCGCTCACCATAGCACACACCCTCCCAATGCCTATCACCCAGCCATCTAATCCCTCCCACACACTCACCACTCCAGGAACACTCAGTTTGTTTTCTGAGATTAAGAATTCCTCATATCACTGAGGTCATATGATACATGTCTATCCCTGATTAACTTATTTCACTCAGCATAACACCTTCCCATTCCATCCACGTCCTTGTAAATGGCAAGATCTCATTCTTTTTGATGGCTACATAATATTCCATTGTGTATATATACCATTGCTTCTTTATCCATTCTTGTGTCGATGGACATCTTGGCTCTTTCCACAGTTCGGGTATTGTGGATATTGCTGCTATAAATATCGGGGTGCACGTACCCCTTCGGATCCCTACTTTTGTATCTTTGTGGTAAATACCCAGTAGTGCAATTGCTGGATCATATGGTAGCTCTATTTTCAACAGTATGAGGACCTCCATACTGTTTTCCAGTGTTGCACCAGCTTGCATTCCCACCAACAGTATAGGAGGGTTCCCCTTTCTCTGCATCCCCGCCAACATCTGTTGTTTCCTGACTTGTTAATTTTAGCCATTCTCACCTGTGTGAAGTGGTATCTCATTGAGGTTTTGATTTGGATTTCCCTGATTCCGAGCGATGTGGAGCACTTTTTCATGTGTCTGTTGGCCATTTGGATGTCTTCTTTGGAAAAATATCTGTTCATGTCTTCTGCCCATTTCTTGATTGGATTATTTGTTCTTTGGGTGTTGAGTTTGAAACGATCATTATAGATTTGGGATACTAGCCCTTTATCTGAGATGTCATTTGCAAATATTTTCTCCCATCCTGTCGGTTGTCTTTTGGTTCTGTGGACTGTTTCTTTTGCTGTGCAAAAGCTTTTTATCTTGATGAAATCCCAATAGTTCATTTTTGCCCTTGCTTCCCTTGCCTTTGGCGATGTTTCTAGGAAGTAGTTGCTGCTGCTCAGGTCGAAGATGTTCTCCTTTAGAATTTTGATGGACTCCTGTCTCACGTTGAGCTCTTTCAACCATTTGGTGTCTATTTTTGTGTGTGGTGTAAGGAAATCGTCCAGTTTCATTTTTCTACATGTGGGTGTCAAGTTTTCCCAACACAATTTGTTGAAGGGAATGTCTTTTTCCATTGGACATTCTTTCCTGCTTTGTCAAAGACGAGTTGACCATAGAGTTGAGGGTCCATTTCTGGGCTCTCACTTCTTTTCCATTGATCTATGTGTCTGTTTTTGTGCCAGTAGCATTCTGTCTCAATGATGACAGCTTTGTATTAGAGGTGGAATTCCTGAAATGTGATGCCACCAGCTTTTCTTTTCTTTTTCAATATTCCTCTAGCTATTCGGGGTCTCTTATTGTTCCATACAAATTTTAGGATTATTTGTTCCATTTCTTTGAAAAAAGTGGATGGCATTTTGATGGGGATTGCACTGAATGCGTAGATTGTTCTAGGTAGCATTGACATCTTCAAAATCCATCTTCTTCCAATCCATGAGCATGGAAAGTTTTTCCATTTCTTTGTGTCTTCAATTTCTTTCATGAGTATTTTATAGTTCTCTGAGTACAGATCCTTTGCCTCTTTGCTTATATTTATACCAAGTTATCTTATGGTTTTGGGTGCAATTGTAAATGGGATCAACTCCTTGATTTGTCTCTCTTTTGTCTTGTTGTTTGTGTAAAGAAATGCCACAGATTTCTGTGCATTGATTTTATATCCTGACAGTTTCCTGAATTCCTCTATGAGTTCCAGCAGTTTTGGGGGGGGGTGTTTTGTGTTTTCCACATACAGTATCATATCATCTGCAAAGAGTGAGAGTTTGACTTCCTCTTTGCCGATTTGGATGCATTTGATTTCTTTTTGTTGTCTGATTGCTGTTGCTAGGACTTCTAATACTATGTTGAATAACAGTGGTTAAGTGGACATCCCTGCTGCGTTTCTGACCTTAGGGGAAAAGCTCTCAGGTTTTCCCCATTGAAAATGATATTCACTGTACGTTTTTCTTAGATGGCTTTTATGATATTGAGTTATATATCCTCTATCCCTATACTCTGAAGAGTTTTGATCAAGAAAGGATGCTGGACTTTGTCAAATGATTTTTCTGCATCTATGGAGAGGATCATATGTTTCTTTTCTTTCTTTTGTAATGAATTGTATCACGGTGATTGATTTGCAGATGTTGAACCAACCTTGCAGCCAGAAATAAATCCCACTTTGTAGAGGTGAATAATCCTTTTAATGTACTGTTGGATCCTATTAGCTGTACTTTGGTGAGAATTTTTGCATCCATATTCATCAAGGATATTGGTCTGTAATTCTCCATTTTGATGGGGTCTTTGTCTGGTTTTGGGATCGAGGTAATGGTGGCCTCCTAAAATGAGTTTGGAAGTTTTCCTTTCATTTCTAATTTTTGGAATGGTTTCAGAAGAAGAGGTATTAATTCTTCTTTAAATGTCCGGTAGAATTCCCCTGGGAAGCCATCTGGCCCTGGGCTTTTGTTTGTTGGGAGATTTTGGATGAATGCTTCGATTTCCTTAGTGGTTATAGGTCTGTTTAGATTTTCTATTTCTTCCTGGTTCAATTTCGGTAGTTGATGCATCTCTAGGAATGCACCCATCTCTTCCAGGTTATCTAATTTGCTAGCATAGAGTTGCTCATAATATGTTTTTTTTTAATTTTTTATTGTTATGTTAATCACCATATATTACATAATTTGTTTTGGTGTAGTGTTCCATGATTCATTGTTTGTGCATAACACCCCGTGCTCCATGCAGAATGTGCCCTCTTTAATACCCATCACCAGGCTAAGCCATCCCCCTACCCTCCTCCCCTCTAGAACCCTCAGTTTGTTTTTCAGAGTCCATCATCTCTCCTGGTTCGTCTCCCCCTCTGACTTACTCCCCTTCATTCTTCCTCTCCTGCTATCTTCTTCTTTTTCTTTTCTCTTAAAATATGTTGCGTTATTTGTTTCAGAAGTACAGATCTGTGATTAAACAATCTTACACAATTCACAGCGCTCACCGTAGCACATACCCTCCCCAATTCTATCACCCAGCCACCCCATCCCTCCCACCCCCGACCACTCCAGCAACGCTCAGTTTGTTCCTGAGATTAAGAATTCCTCATATCAGTGAGGTCATGTGATACATGTCTTTCTCTGATTGACTTATTTCACTCAGCATAACACCCTCCAGTTCCATCCACGTCGTTGCAAATGGCAAGATCTCATTCCTTTTGATGGCTGCATAATATTCCATTGTGTATATATACCACTTCTTCTTTATCCATTCATCTGTCGATGGACATCTTGGCTCTTTCCACAGTTTGGCTATTGTGGACATTGCTGCTATAAACATTGGGGTGCACGTACCCCTTCGTGTCCCTACATTTGTATCTTTGGTGTAAATACCCAGTAGTGCAATTGCTGGATCGAATGGTAGCTCTAATTTCAACTGTTTGAGGAACCTCCATATTGTTTTCCAGAGGGGTTGCACCAGCTTGCATTCCCACCAACAGTGTAGGAGGGTTCCCCTTTCTCCACATCCACGGCAACATCTGTCCTTCCCTGTTTGTTAATTTTAGCCATTCTGACGGGTGTGAGGTGGAATCTCATTGAGGTTTTGATTTGGATGTCCTGATGCCGAGCGATGTTGAGCACTTTTTCATATGCCTGTTGGCCATTTGGATGTCTTCTTTGGAAAAATGTCTGTTCATGTCTTCTGCCCAT